GGTATCTAGTACTTGAGGCCACCTGCATCTCCCATCTAACATCCTCCACACATATTTATGGACTTTCTTTTTTCTTTCTTTTTGTGACCCTGGGCACTATCCCTGAACTTCTGTGCTCAAGGCTAGCACTCTACTGCTTGAGTTACAGCTCTACTTCCAGCTCTTTTGTAGTTTAGTGGAGCCAGGCTGGCTTCGAGTCATGATCCTCAGATCTCAGCCTCCTGAGTAGCTAGGAATACAGGTGTGAGCCACTGGTGGCCTGGCTCGGACTTTCATCCTACCTGAATCAACATCTTCCCTAATACTGTGCTGCAGATCTACTTTTTCCAGTTGCTGATCCACCTTCTCTCGGTTTGGTGGGTAACTGACACCCTAACGTCAGCCTGAAGATCTGCATGAGGCAGTGAAGAACACGCCTGCTCTCTGGTGAATTGTTAGGTGGAAAACCTCCCTGGCATCTGTGGTTATATATGTTCGCAGAATCATCTTTACAGGACAGACCTGAGTTTTCTCCTATAACATCTGGCCAGTGGTAGATGGAGGAATTGCTTGCTCTCACTGAGGGGCTGGGGATTAATTGAAATAAACCAGTGAAGTTGGGGAACCATTGTATCATCTTGTACAATCTTGCTACAAGGTAAGTTTCCTTGAAGGAGCCATGAGAGAAGGAAGTCCTGGTCCATCGCTGAGCCTTGGGGGAATGGGAGGAAGACCAGCAAGCTTCCTCTGAACCTGGGTAGACAACTTGAACTCTGGCCTAGATTTCCAAGGAATCAGGTTTCATGGCAAAGGAGTTCTGAGAAAAGGTGACCCAACCCAGAGAGAGGAGGGCCTAGGTGCCACATCCACTTCTGCTTATGAGATCAATGTACACTCATCTTTCCCCACTGAGATTTCTTCTTTGAAGTTGGAGGACTAGAAGTCCTCAGCTTTAATGAATTCAGAAGGAGAGAAGAGAATTACGCAACATGACATCTTCTGAGGGAGACGTGAGATTGGAAAGCAGAACTGGCTGGTACTTCCTGTCACTGCATCTGAGAGGCCTTCTCTCCCAAGCCTCTGTTTCCTTTCCTGGCCTCTGAATGATCCATCTCTCCTCTATAGCTCTTTTATTTCCTGCTTCCTTTGCTCTGCTTAGAAGCTACGGATGTTGAAGATACTCAAATTTTCCCTGTGTATGTTAGTCTCAGAATTTAAATGTCTGAAGGCTCTGAAATGAGACAGAAGCTGTGAGCCTAACCTCTTGTCTGTTTTGCTAATTCTTTCCCAGAATTAGCAGCGAGGCTCATGTCAGCCTGAGAGGTTTTTGAGGACATGATGGTGATTGTACTGTTGAAAATCTGCCTGGGCAAAGGCTGGCTGTTATAATTCTATAGAAATAAATCTCCCAGAAAACAATGTGTGGACTCAAGAACCACACTAAAAGATCCAGGTTTGGTGATTTTTCTCATTCCTTCCTGGTAAAGAAGCATGTGGATTAACTTGAATAATCTGATGAGACTGGAGGTTCATGGCTCCCAAGCCACGTGTCTTACGTCCTGAAACACACCCAGAAAGTGGCTAGAGCATCATTATCCTGAGACAAAGGAACAATGCAGCATATGCATAATAGAATGCTGTTGGAAATTGCTAGGATGTACTGACTTCCCCTTCCCCCATGGCCTCTTCACTACCAGGTTATGGAATGTTGGAGTGTCAGAATGGGCAATGGATTGATGCTGCCTGGTGAGCACATGGCTGTGAACATATGGAGAAAGAAAGGAATGGAGTGAGTCATCTGATTGCAGATCACCCCTCCCTGTCCTGTCTACAAGAGCCCCTGCCATTCCATGCCCACTGGATTCAGTGCACATGTATACATAACTGTATGTGTTCTTCTCTTGATCTTGGCAAGACAAAGAGTAACACGAAGGGAATCACTCAGAGCTGGAAGCTGGTCCAATCTGAACCCTCATCTTCTGCATGAATCTCCCTAAGAATCTCCCATGAGGCAAGCCTTCAAAGTCCTTGTAATTATTCCTGTTGTCACAGTGTCGGGTCATGCATGGAAATGTGCCTCTGCCCTCCCTCAGCCTTCATCTTGAACATCTTCCTTGTCTTCATCTTTGCCTTTATCAACCTCCCCACTGTTTGATTCACAGGACTGGCGTTTGTAGATGGGGTCACACTTCACCATAGCTTGACCTATTTAAATTTTTTTCCATTAATTAACAGGAGTTACTTTCCTGAGAAATGGAAGATAGTGAATTTTCTCTTTGACTTCTAATACTAACCACCGTTTTGAAAGCTGGCAATTCTACTCCTCAGTATTTTTAATTGCTCCCATGTCATTTTTTTTTATTGTGCCAATACTTAGGCTTGCACTCAAGGCCTGGGTTTTGGACTCAAGTTCCTGAGTTTTTTGTTTTGTTTTGTTCAAGGATGGCACTCTATCACTTGAGCCACAGTTCCACTTCTGGCTTTTTTGGTACCTGGGCTGGCTGTAAACTATAACCATCAAATCACAGCCTTCTGAGTAGCTAGGATTATAGGTGTGAGCACTGGCACCCAGCATTGTGGTGATTTTTGACTCTTGTCTATCCTTCCTGTTTCTCATCACATAAGCTGTTAAGCACTGCAGATTATATTTCTTAAAGATTTGTCTTATCTGTTCTTTAGTAGGTTCAGTCGATTATTGCTGGCCTTTAAAAATATCCCCTTAGCTGGACGCCGGTGGTTCACACCTGTAATCCTAGCTACTCAGGAGGCTGAGATCGAGGATCATGGTTCAAAGCCAGCCTGGGAAGAAAAGTCCTTGACATTCTTATCTCCAATAAACCACCAGAAAACTGGAAGTGGTGCTGTGGCTCAAGTGGTAGAGCGCTCATCTTGAGCTGAAGAGCGCAGGGACAGCGCCCAGGCCCAGAGTTCAAGCCCCACGACCGACCAAAAAATAATATATATCCCCTTAGCTGGGCCTCAATATGCTGGTCTCCATCTCATCTAATCTATTTTTAACACTGTCATCAATGAATGAAGACTCTCCCTGATCTATACAAGGAAATTAATGTCCTTTTCCTTCCTTCCTTCCTTCCTTCCTTCCTTCCTTCCTTCCTTCCTTCCTTCCTTCCTTCCTTCCTTCCTTCCTTCCTTCCTTCCTTCCTTCCTTCCTTCCTTCCTTTCTTTCTTTCTTTCTGTCATAATCCATCTTCTGCCTATCACACCAGCCTTGTGTTCCTCAGTTCTGGATCAGGTCACAGACTAATTCCATCATCCTTCACAGTCCCTAATGCAACTGAGTTTCCTGAGCTCCTTGCATGTGCAAGTCTTCTGCAAGTCTGATAAAACTCTCTTTGTTTTCTCCTTTCTCTGGAACTTGCATCTATCTCAAAGGAATAGGCCTACTATGAGAAACAATGCCCCAGAGCTAGAAAGTATTTGAAGTCTGACTATTCCATTTGCCTGTTTGATGGTCATGTCTCTTGTTTAGCCCCTAACTACTGGTTAAGCACCTTCTAGAAGGTGTGTCCCTTACCTTTGCCAAGCAATGAGGTCCTTATATCTATCAATAAACTATTTAATTTCCGAAAATCCATGATGGCAATGTTTAGGGAGAACATGTTTCTTGGCAGTACTGAAGTCTGAACTCAGGACCTCAAGCCCGCTTGGCAGGTGCTGCACCGCTTGAGCCACATCCCCATCCCTATTTACTTATTTTTCAGGTAAGGTCTTGTATTTTTGCCTCAGGCTGGCCTTGGACTTTGATCCTTCGCCTTCTGCCTTCAGAATAGCTTGCATTGCAGGTGTGCACCAGTACAGCTGGCCCTGCATAGTGATAAATTTTAATGCTCACATATTTATTTTCCTTTTTTTGGCTGGTTGTGGGGCTTGAACTCTGGCCCTGGGCGCTATCCCTCAGCTCTTCAGCTCAAGGCTAGTGCTCTACTACTTGAGCCACAGCACCACTTCTGGTTTTTCTGGTGGTTAATTAGAGATCAGAATCTCACAGACTTTCCTTCCCGGCTCACTTTGAACTGTGATCCTCGGATCTCAGCCTCCTTAGTAGTTAGAATTTACAGGTGTGAGCCACCGGCTCCCAGCTACATATTTCTTTTTTGACACAAAGATGTTTGGATAATGTTATAGAGGACTGTGCATTTCTAGGTGGCAGTGTTTTCAAAATTTCCGTTTTATTGAATGAGTTGGTGTTTTAGGTTCCAGATATGAAAATAGAAAATCCAGTCATGGCCCTCAGCATACTTTTCCATCCCCAGTTGACTTTCTAGGTTGTTTTAAGAACTGTTCATTTTAGTACTCCCCCTGATATCCTAAGCAAACTGAACTATTCATACCCCATTCTGCAATACATAATGATTTTTTTCCTGTGATCTTTGTGTAAACTAACCCCTAGGGAGGAATGAACTGTGATACAATCCTGTTGATTGGAATATGTAAATATAATATGTAAATAACTTCCACAAAGAATTCTGGAAAAACTTTACTTCTAAGGAGTATGGCTAAGAGCACACACGGTCTTGAATTTGTTTTATGAACCTGTTTTGCCTATTCTACTAGGTGTATTTTTCTTAGGATCAATGCCTGGGCTGTATTTGGTTCTTTTTCTTTGTGTTTCAGGAGGAGAAGCCCTATGTATCCCATAGTTTCTATGAGGGTTTATTGAAGAGAAGGGTTTACTGGAAGGGGAGAATAATACTATCCTAGGGAATATCTGAATCAGATAGCTTTGATTTACTGTTTAATGCACAGCAGAGTACCTGTGGTTCATCAAGCATTGTAGCCCCTGCTTTGGACTCAAAAGACAAGTATGGCTCAGTCTGTCTACTCTGCCTCCTGGAGGAAGCTGGTATAAGAATAAACAAATGCACCATAGTGCAGCCCTAACCCAGAATCACACAGCCTGTGGGTGGTGAGTCTATGATGAAAATCCAAGTCTACACAGTTTCAAAGCCATGAAAACAGGACGCTTCCACTCAAATGGGTTTGTTTTATTCACAAACTAGGTCCTCCAGAAGCTGGGAAAAGCTGATGAGACAAAAGACGAACAGTTTGAAGAATATGTCCAGAACTTCAAGAGGCAGGAGGTGAGTCCATTTGAGCTAGTTTTGAGAGAGGGAAGCGATTTAACTGAATGTGTGTTTTTAGGATAGGGTATGGCCTGTGAAAGTTTAATCCTTTTGTGGAGAACAGTGGGAAGGGAAAAACTTAATCTAACTAACTTTGATAGGGCCTTTTGGAAAGTGGTGTGTGTGTGTGTGTGTGTGTGTGTGTGTGTGTGTGTGTGTGTGTGTGTGTGTGTGTGTGTGTGTGTGTGTGTGTGTGTGTGTGTTGAACTCAGGGTCTCCTGCTTTCACTCTCCCACTAGAGCCACACCTCCACTTCTGGGTTAATTGGAGATAAGAATCTCTTAGATTTGCCTGCCCATGCCACTCAGCAGAACTAGCATTACAGGCATGAGTAACCAGCACATGGCAAGCAACTGGTTTTTATAAAGATATCAGGGTACAGTCCTCACAATCGAATACTAGTGCTTTTATAAGGAGAGAGACAGTGAAAAGGGGCACACATGCTCCCTATTTCTTGTCATTTGATGCCCTGATCTGCCTCAGGAAGAAGACCATCGTGAAATGCAGCTCCCAGCCTTCACTCCCTAAACCATGAGCCAGAGCAAACTTTTTTTTGATCGGTCATGGGGCTTGAACTCTGGGCCTAGGCGCTGTCCCTGCGCTCTTCAGCTCAAGGAGAGCGCTCAACCACTTGAGCCACAGCGCCACTTCTGGTTTTCTGGTGGTTAATTGGAGATAAAAGTGTCAAGGACTTTTCTGCCCCGGCTGGCTTTGAACTGTGATCCTCAGATCTCAGCCTCCTGAATAGCTAGGATTACAGGTGTGAGCCACCGGTACCGGCTCAGAGCAAACTTTTTAAAAAAAATTAATTGCTTCATTTGTGGTTCTGTACTACTAGCAACAGACAATGGAGCAGCACACATTATAACCAGAAACCATTAAAACTGAAGAAAGAACAGATAAAGTTGGATTAACTCCAGGGGAACAATTGCTAATCTGGATATGCTTTTGTAAAAGACAAAGTAGGAAGTGGGAGTTCAGGAAGTGAGAGGGACTTCAGGAAGTAAGTGGGATTTCAGGAAATGAGTGAAGACATCAGGAAGTGAGTGAGACTTCAGGAAGTGAGTAGGACTTCAGGAAGTGAGTGGGATTTCAGGAAATGAATGAGGACTTTTGGGAAGGGAGTGAGACTTTAGGAAATGAGTGAGGACTTCAGGAAGGGAATGGGGAGCATAAAGTTTTGCTTTGATGTTCAGGACCTTTTCAATTTAAAGGAAAGATGGTTTTTAAGCATTGGTATCTCACTAAACATTAGAGAGGCAGTAAGCACTTTGGGCAAAATGATTTCAGTTATTGTATGCTTCAAGTTCATGAAGTAAAATATATTTAAGTAGTTGTACAAAGGAACTGCCATTTAACAAAGGAGTTTATGAATACAATTCATCTTGATCAGTGCCACCCCTTTTTCATTAAGTTTATGGGTTTAACAGAATCTATATCTTCTTCAGGGAGTGAGAATTTTTTTATTTGGTTGTTTGTTTGTTTTGCTGATACTGGGGCTTGAACTCAGGGCCTGGGTGTTTTGTCCCTTAGCTTTTTAAATTCACAGCTGACAATCTACTCTTTGAGCCACAGCTCCTCTTCCAGCTTTTGGGTGATTCATTGAAGATAACAGTATCATGGACTTTCTTGCCCAGAATGTCTTTGAACTGCAGTCCTCAGATCTCAGTCTCTTGAGTAGCTAGGATTATAGGCATGAACCTATGGCATCCAACTAAAACCTAACCCTCGGAAGATGAAAAATAGTTGACTCTTTTAATGTATTAAAGCATACATAAACATAAATCAGTTACATAGTTGGGAAGCATATCTTAATATTACATTCTTTGAATAGTTTTAGTATTAAATTTTCATGGGAAAATATGGATATAATTTGATAATCATGCTCTGCATTGTCTACAATCTTTGTAGACAAATCAACCAGTGGATCTGTTCTTACCAGTCATGATTTGGGGTGCAGTAGTGGCATTTCCTTTTGCCTAAGACTGTCAAGCTGGAAACTGGATGTCCTGTTAAAATGAGAGTGCTGCTGATTGATTATACCTTCAGGAGGAGGCATTTACTGAAGCTCTTCCTAGATCATGGCTTAAGAGGGGGAAGGGCAGAGAGAGTAGAACTGTAGAGTTAGGGGCCTGGAATAAAATGGAAGAAGATTTTAGCTGTGAAGCCAGGTTTGTAGAGCAAAGTCAGGGTTTTGAAAATGAATGCATCGTATCTCGAGGCAAATTGGGCCTCGTTCCCGGGGAAAATTAGAGCATCAAAAGCTTCAAGTCAATAATCTAGTTCTTAAGAAACTAGAAAAAAGAAATGCAAAAACAAATTAGAAGCGAGCAAAACGGATGAAAGAAAATAGACAGGGGCAGAAAAATCAATGAACGTGAAAATAGAAAAACAGTAGTGAAGAGAAAAGAAACAAAAAGCTGATTCTTTGAACAAAATCAATAAAATCGGTTCACCTCTAGGCAAGATGACAAAAGGATAGAGATCTCCAGTCGCAGAAAGGAAATAAAGGATATCATTTTGGACCTTCTGGTCATTTAGAGGATAATAGGAATATTACCATCAACTCTGCACTAAAACATTTGACAACCACAATGAAATGAGTCTTCTACAACCACAAACTCACCAAGGTGAAACAGGCTATCCAGATTGTCCTGTGACCATTAAAGACAGAGAGTTTTCCATTTAAAGCCTCAGAAAAAGAATCTTGGGGGCCAGATGGTTTCCCTGGAGAATCATGACATTTGCAGAATCATTCCCAATTTTCCACATTCTTTTCTAGAAAAATAGGAGGTGGTAATTCTCACTTCCTAATTCTAACTGAACCTATGACTAGCCAGTAGCTGCATATTGGTGTTTACTGCTGTATTGGGGTCTTTTAATCAGTGTAATTCTGTCTTCTTCCTTGAGCATGAAAACCTAGCCTGCCACTGTCCTCTCCATGTGCCCTTATATAACCAGTCCCGATGTGTGAGTCACCTTATCTCCCGTGAGGTGTGTGTCCAACGAGTCTCCTGCTTTCTAGCTGTGGGCTGGCTGGTACCCATGGCTCCTTCCTTTTCTTCTCCACTCAGGACTTCTGTCCAATGACTCTCACCCACTCACCCACCAACAGACAATTTCCTAGTTCTCTGCCAGCTGGGTTCCCTCTACATCCACATCTGGTTCTGTGCCTCCATAGACTCCCCTACCCTACTGCCACTAACTCTGTGCACCAGTGGAAATGTACTGTTATCACCTGATTGTGTTGTCACCTAATTTGTTTATGTGTGTGTGTTGTTTAAAGTGACTTCTATTCCTTTGTACAATCGTATTTCCAGCTAGACTCCACATGCTCAAAGATCTATTTCACTGGATCCAATTTTAGTTTTATTTATAACGTTGGATTTACATGAGCTGTATACTTTTGCTGATGGAATAAAGTGTTTAATAATGGTCTGGTTCTCTACTAAATGGAACAGGTTTTGTTTTCTTTCTTCCATTTAGTGCCACAGATGAATTAGGCCAAGGAAAGAGGACAGGTGTAATGTTGGTATTAGAAATGAAATAAATATTAAGATTACAGAGAAATGCAGAAAAGATCTAGAGCCGGGGCCTTTATATTGTACCCAGATGTATCTGCTGCCAGGCCTTCCCACAGAAGTCTGCTGTATTGACAATCATGGTAGGTTAGACTTGCTTTAAGGTATTAAATCAGTTTTATACATACAAAGCACATCTTTCCATTAAAACACAATTACAAACCATGTGCCGGGGGCTTGTACCTGTAATCCTAGCTACTTAGGAGGCTGAATGCCAGAGGATGGTAATTTGGGTCTAGCCTTCATAATAAGCAACAAAAAGGCTGAAGGCATGGCTCGAGTGGTTGAGCACCAGCCCATCAAAGAAGCTAAATCCATGCTGAGTTCAAACCCAAGCACCATAAGTAAAAAAGAAGGAAGGAAGGGAGACAGAGAGACAAAGAGGAAAGAAGAGGAAAAAAAAGGAGAGGGAAGGAAGGAAGGGGTGGGGAGGGAGGGAGAGAGCAAAGGAGAAAGGAAGGAAACGCCATTACAAAGGAGTGATAATTTTTTCTAAAAGCATACTGGCCAAATGCCTTTGGTATGTTTTGCTAAAATAGTGGATGTGACTTCTTATTAATCAGTTAAATTAAGGTCCTTATAGCCACTTACACAATATTTCATTACTACTTACTGTACAATGCAAGAAGCTTTATGTTTCTTAAGCATAATTGTAACAGATACCTAGTAAGCCTGGCAAGTCCAGCCTCCATTTCCAGACCAATTGCATGCACCTTCTCTTCCTTGTGAGAGAAGCTCATCGTTTAATTTATAGGATCTTCTTCAAATGAGCCCCAATACTGGGATGCAGAGAATTTGGCACATCTCCCCTCCATGCTGAGGAAGAGGATCTGAAAAGGTTGTGAGTATTTGCATAAGTGGGCTGCAGCTGGATTGTAGATGTGCATCCATTTAATGGTTTCCACTGCAATTCTCTCCCCTAAGCCACCCTGTGAGCTTGTGTTGACATTACTATTGGAGTAGCAAACCAAATGGAAGAGATGCATTAGTAGGTGGCCAACTGATACCAGGAGCTGTAAGGAGATTTTCACTAGAGCTGTGTGCTAGAATATATACCAGTGCATTATGTCTTCATAATTGACAGACACAGTGAAATTTATAGTAGTGGTTCCTGGATTGTACTCTAGACTTCTGAGTCTGGTCATATAATTTGCTCTGTCCCTTGAGAGTCATCTTGGGATGTTAACAACTTGCATATAAGCCTGAGATTACACAGAGATGGTAAAGCAAATCATGTTTTTAATTACATGTCAGTTTGGATATACCCCTAAACCTGATTTTAATAAATAAGAATCATCACAGGAGCTTAAACATTCTTCTAACTCCCAAGCCCCACCAAACCAACCTTAGGGAAAAAAAATCATGGAAAAAGAATTT